GGGAGGGCGCGTACGCCCTCCTCCCTCCCCCGGCCCCGCGGCGGTGGGGCCCGGGGGGCGTGGCCTCCAGCCAGGCGCGCGGGTCCACGGGGGAGAGCTCGGCGGCCAGGGACGCGCGGCGCGGCGTGGCCGGCCCGCCGCCCGGGCCCCGCGTTGAGGCGGCGCGCGACCCCGGGCGCGAGCGCGCAGGGCCCCAGCCCGGGCTACCCGGCGCGTCGCCGGCCTCCGAGGGCGGCACATCCAGGGACAGCGACAGCTGGGACACGGGGCGCGAGGAGAAGTAGGAGGTGTCGGTGTCGCAGTCGGTGGCGGGGACGAAGGCCGCCTTGCGCCGTGCCAGCGAGGGCCAGTCCACGCCTGCGAACCAGGGGTGCAGCTTGACCTCGCCCGCGCCGCGCCGGCCCAGCCGCCGCCGCGGGTCCAGCGTCAGCAGGCCCAGGATGAGGTCGCGGCACGCCTGGCTGGGGTGCGGGCGCTCCTTGCGCGGCTTGGGGGATGCGTGGCGTGCTGGCCACCGCGCTGGAGCTAGCGCGGCGCGGCGCCGACGGCGGTGGCGGCGGCGGCGCGCTGCTTGAGGCCGCGCGCTCGCACTGGACCGAGGGGCCTGGTGCGCGCGACCCCGGCGCGCTGGCCTCGCTGGCCTGGGTCCTGGCCCGCCTGGCCGGCGCGGCGCAAGAGCGTGGCGAGCCGGAGCTGGCGCTGGGCCACTGGGCGGCGCTGGAGGGTCTGGACTCTGCGCTGTGGGCGGGTGAGTGGGCTGGAAAAGAAAGGGGGGTGCGGGGTTAGGGGGCTCCGAGATGATTTATTGGGCCATCCCGTGGACAGGCGGCGGCACTGAGGGCTTGGATTCCAGGTGGCAGACACAGCATGAGCCGTTGTTGGAAGGGAGGCGACCTGCACCACCCACCCACTGCCGTGCCTGCCGGGGTCCGGGCATCGCGACGACCTTCATCGCCGGCCCCGGTCCTCACCCACGCCGCCCCTCTGCCCCCGCCTTAGACCCCGGGACGCAGCGACAGGTGGCCTGGACGGTGGCCCTGGCCGACCCCTCCCGCCTGCCCGCCGACCTGGGGCGCCTGGCGCAGGCGATGCCCCGCCTGGCCCCCGGCGAGGAGGAGAGCGCGGCAGGGGCGAGCCTGGCCGCCGCCGCCGCTCCGCGCAAGGGCGCCGCCGACGAGGAGGAGGGCGCGGCGGTGGAGAGGAATCGGCGCGCGCGCAAGAAGCGTGTGCGCCTGCCCAAGGGGTGAGTCGAGCGGGTGGTAGGAAGAGAGGGGGATAAAAGAAGGTCTGCGCTGCCAGAGGAGGGAGCGCACGCCGACAGGCCTGAGGCATCATGCGTGCAGGCACCGCGCTCTGCTTTGGGAGTGCACAGAGCTGCACCATGTTCTGCGCCGGCTCATCTGAGCACTCGGCCACCCTCTCCCCACGCATGCCCAGGTTCGACCCGGAGCATCCCGGGCCCATGCCGGATCCGGAGCGCTGGCTGCCCAAGTGGCAGCGCGCCGAGGCGAGGAAAGGACGGAAGAAGAGGAGGGACAAGGTGCGTGCTGAGAAGTTGGTGGTGGGGGGGGGGGGGGTTCAGACGTGACAAGCAGGCTGTTTGGTTGCTGCGTCAAGGTAGCCGCTCGGCTGGGGTCGAGCAGCGGGCAGCCGCGAATGAGTGCGGGGTTGGAGGACATGGTCATCACTCCCTGTGGGAATGTGCTGACAAAAAGGAGATGGTTGGGCATGGTCGCTGCATCTGACACCCCTGTCGAGCAGAGCGTGAGTTTGTTGATTCGTCGCCCACTGCCCCCCTCACCCGCATGCCACTCTAGAATGCCATCAAGGGCAGTCAGGGAGCCGGAAAGGTGGACGAAACCCTGGACAGGGCCGCAGGTGGGGGTGCGGGGTTCGGAATTGGGAGAATGCAGTCGCCATAGAGGAGGTCTCACGGGCACCCACAATGCTGGCAAGCAGTCCTTTCCTTTTCTGACGCCCAGACCCTCCCTTCCCCACGCAGTCCCCGCGCCCGCGGAAGGAAGCAAGGGGCCGCCTCCCAAGCCTCCCGCGGGAGGCAAGAAGAAGGGCAAGGGACGACGATGAATCGCTGCGGCCCGGGGCGTATTGATTGCTTGCTCCTGGTCTGGGTGATGCAAGGGTCAATCCATCGCTCTGTGTCATGCCCTGCTGCGTACAATCGGGACCACACTCCAAATTGAGAGAGCACAGTGGAGGCGGAGGTGAAGATTGAATACAGGGGAGCCAGCTCAAATCGGGTGGCGAGGAGAGGCTGCTTCGATGATGCCCCCCCGCAAGGCACACTCTAAGCCGTCTGCACAGCCTGCTGCTGCAACCGCTGTGCCTCTTGCTGCAGCTTGATCATCTGCCGGAGGGGTTGGGACCCAGGGAGAAGGGATGGAGGGCACGGTGGGCCACACACGGGACGTACCTGCCATCCAAGGGCACCAGAATGTACATGACGACCGGCTGTAGGGGCCCCAGACCAGCGCATCATGGCCCATTCCCCTCCCAGCGCCCAGACCATGCTTGCCTGGTTATGTTTCCTGGTTTGCTTCTCCTCGAGAGCCTTGAGCTGCGAATCCAGGCGGGCCAGCTCGGATGCAATGAACTCCAGCCTCTTCTTCACATTGGCCCTGGCCTCCAGAGCGTCCTGTCGCACCAGTGCAGGGCCTATAAGCTTGTACACGGCACCCTCCTCGCCAGATATCTCCAGCTCCTGGGGTCGCAAGACGTTTGAGGAACATGGGGTCAGTGGTGGGTTCGGTGGTGCGCCCGGCAAGGGGAATGCTTAGCACGTCCACGTTTGTTGCCTTCGCAGCTGGCGACGCAGCGCCCTTTGGACGCACCTTAAACACCATCTCGTTCTCGTTCTGCTGTTGGAGGAACTGCTGCCTGGCGTTATGGTTCTTGTTGACGTCTGCCCAAGGTTGGCAGCGAAGGGGTGAGCGGGTCAACATCAGCATGTGCCCAATCGAGGTTATCTGATCGATGCACTACCTGCCCGCTCACCTTGCTGTATGGCTTGAAAGGCATCTGCCTCTTCTCGAAGCTCCCGTTGGAGGGCGTTGGCACGGTCCATGTTGTGTTGATGGGCGACAATAAGGTGAGATCCTGGGAGAACCGTCGAGATCCTATCAATCTACTGAAGATACAGATTGTATTCGACAACTGAAGTGTGATTATGCATCTTGTCTCCTCGTCAGACACTAGGCTCAAAATCAGTATCGCGTTTCCGGATCCAGCTCAGCAGCATTGGCGCGCGAGGGGCGAACCGCGGTAGAGATTCCTGGCCAAACTCCCTGCCTGTAGCGTACTGGTCGCTGAACTGAGTGTCAAACTGTCGTGGCCTTTCAAAATTGCCAAGAGGCGGGTTTCCACGAGGACTCGGCAGTATGGGGGAGGGAAGCGATCACACAGGGTCTACACCCATGTTTGCGATCTTCGTCCTGTCTCTGTACTCCTTATACCTGATTCCATATACCTTGTACAAGCTGTGTGGGAGCGGACCAGACGACAAGGTATGGTAGTGCGGGTCCTCACCGGCTGGTCCTGCCTCGGGTTGTGGGTACGGGCGGCTACCAAACCCCGACACCCACGCTACGCCCAGGTCACAAAGTCCTGGAGCACCAAAAAGGCCGGACAGAGTCTGGGGGAGCGTGTTGAGTCGCTAGCCACCAACCCTCTGGCCATCCAGTGGGTTGTGTACATTGCTCTCTTCTGGTGCGTCTTTCTGGAGCGGCAGTGTATTCGCTGACACAGAACATCCAGAGAATCTTGTCGTCTGTGAGCTTGGCTCTCAGCTTCTCTACTCTGACAACGGTATGTTGTGCAGGTATACGTCGTCCCGAGCGAATGCTGTGCAGCAGTTCGACCCCTTCCAGATCCTGGAGCTGCCCATCACTGCTGGCGACGCAGACATCAAGAAGGCGTATCGCAGGCTCTCCCTCCTGTACCATCCGGACAAGAACCCGGACCCTTCCGCCGCGGACTACTTTGCCAACTACATCTCCAAGGTATGGTATGGGAGGGCTGGGCATGGGCTCAGGAGATCTTGACATGGCGACAGATTGGCGTGGTGGGCGATCTGGAGAGGGCCTGGCAGGCCATGCCCAGACCGCAGAGCCGCGGCGGCGCAGGCAGAGAACCCAATCCATGGCAGCCTGCCCACCCTTGCAGGCATACCAAGCCCTCACTGACGAGACTTCTCGTGAGAACTACCAAAAGTATGGCCATCCGGATGGTCCTCAGGCCTACAGCGTCAGGTGCGCAGGGGGAGGGTGTGTACTTGCTCAGTGGGGGAACGCATGGCATGCAGGGAAAGGCTGGCCTGCCTGTCGCAGGTGGTCGGCTCTGCCGATGCCAAGTGACCCTCTCCCCCCTCTGCAGCGTGGCTCTGCCTGAGTGGTTCTTCTCAAAGGTGCACGGGTGCTGATGTGGGCGGCATGCTGTGTAGGACTGCGATGCCGGATGCAGGGAAAGGCGTGGAGCGTGGAGAAGCATCCAGCGAAAGTTGGTGTGCTTGCCGGCAGCCTGCCGTCGGTTCCTGCAAGCGCTGAGTACAGCTCTACCCCCCCAACGCTCCCTGACTTTGCTGCACAGGACAAGAACACTGCCCCCATCATCCTCCTGGTGCTGCTGTTTGGCGGGATCGTGCTTCCCCTCGGACTGGCCGCCTGGTACCTCACCCGCTCCAACAAGTGAGGCCGGGTTTACGGCACAAAGGGTGTTCATTGCATAGTGTTTAAAAGGGGGTTCACGGGGACGGGGTATAGCGGGTGCCCCTCCAGCCACCTTTGAGAACCCCCCTCTGCCGCGGCGTGAGTGCGTGCGTGGATTGCGACGTGAGCGCCTCCTTACCTCCCACTGGCATGTGCAACCCACCCACCCACCCAGACACCCTTCTTGACTCGAATAAACACCAAGAAACCCCACCCCTTCATGTCAGGTACACTGGGCCCAACCAGCTGCTGCACGAGACCATCATGCTGTATGCGCAGGACCCCCGATACGGGGTCAAGGAGTCACAGGCCCTGGCCCGAATTCCCGACACGCTCGTGTGCGCCATGGAATTCATCCTCATGCCCAACGCCCCGGTGAGGGCGTGGAGTGGGCGGTTTGCTGCTGGTGGGGATGGGGCACCTGGGGCTACACTTGCGAACCCCAAGACTGCACCGTGGCATTCACCCCTGCGCACCAGAACCGCCCTTGGATGACAACCACGCCCTCAACTCGCCTCCATGGCACGTTAATCAGGGCCAGAACGCAGCGCTGGATGACCTGCGCCGCCGCGTGCTCTTCCTGCACCCCGACCTGAAGGAGAAGAGCCAGTTCTGGAAGCGGCGCGCCAGCATCGTCAAGGTGCCACGGTGTTCTCACAGAGGTTTTGTTGGGAGCTTGGTAGTGGTGGGGTGTCCCCGTGTGCTGATTTGCTACCCCACCCTGGCGCCTCAGCCATGCTGCAATCCCACCCATACCCACCAGCTGATATTTATCTCCCCCCCACTCAATTCGACCCAGGCACATCTGCTGGTCCTCGCCCACCTCTCGCGCGAACCCATCCCTGCCGCGCTGACAAAGGACGCGAACTTCATCCTGCAAAAGTGCCCGGCCCTGCTCAAGGAGCTCGTCGGCATCGCCTGCGTCCCGCGGGTCCAGGTTCGTTGACTGGCTGGAGGGAGCGCGGCTGGATGCTTTGGGGACGGTTACAGCTACCTTCCCTGCACGGCAGCAGGACCGGCCGGGCTTGGGGTGGCTGGAGCGAGACACAGCTCCCTGTGTTTCGGTTCTCTTTGTAGAATAACTCATCGACACGGCCGCCAACTCCCATGCGCTGCGACTCACCTAGGTGCCTGCCACCTCTTTCCCAATGCAGCCCGGGTACGGCTGGCTGGCGCCGGCGCTGGGGTCCGTGGAGATGATGCAGCACTTGGTCCAGGCCGTCCCGATCCAGGCTCGGAAGGGAGGAAAGGGCGGCGAGGGGTCCGGCAACCTGCTGCAGCTGCCGGGCTTCGACTCCGACGTCCTTCGGCGCCTGGTGAAGAAGAAGGTCAAGACCCTGGCAGGTGTGGTTGCCATGAGGGCGGGTATCATAGTGCACTTGCAGGCGGCAGGATGGGGATGGCCTTTGGGACAACTGTGAAGCGGTAGCCATTGCTGGGTGGCGCTGGAGCGTTATTTTGAGGACTCCTCCCCTGCCAGGGTCCTCCTGCTCCACCATCCCTCCCTGGATCGTGGTGCAGAATTTGTACCTTGCAAACGTTTCGATGCCTCTAGCTATTTCTCATCCTCAACCCAACAAGCCCACCCCCCCCCATCCACACCCACGCCAGACCTGCGGGCCCTCGCGCCGGAGGAGCGGGCGGCCGCGCTGCGCGACGCCGGCCTGGAGTCGGAGGACCAGGTGGAAAGCGTGGAGACCGCGCTGGCGGCGCTGCCCACGCTGTGGGTCCGCGCGGAGGTGACGGACGAGGCGGGCGAGGCGGCCGACGGCGACGCCAGCGTGCTGGCGGGCGAGGTGCTGACGCTGAGGGTGCGCCTGGCGCTGACCCGTGCCGCGCACGCAGTGCCAGGCTTTGACTCCGACACCATTCGCGGGGCGTCCTCCCTGGTGAGCGTCAGTTGGCGGAGAGGGGAAGGGGGGCCCCAAAGTTGGTGCTCCTTAGTATCTGGGAAGGGCGTGGAGGAGAATGAGAGAGGGTCCCGTGCAAGTAAGGGCTGATCAGGAGGAGCCATGCCTCAACGGCACCCCGGCTCGTGCCCCAGCTCGGCCTCTGCAAGCGCTGACTCACCTTGTGAAAGGGCGCTCACCAGCCAATGCCTGTCTCTTCCCCCACCACTGCAGGCGTACGCGCCGCAGTACCCCTTCCCCAAGGAGGAGGCCTGGTACTTCATCCTGGGGGACACATCGGCCAACGCCGCCATGTGCCTGATCCGGGCGTCCCTGGTAGCCGCCGAGGCCGCCGGCGCGCGCGCCGACGTGCGCGCGGTGGCCGCCGGGACGGACCCCGCGGCCGTGGACCCCCTGGCGGAGGAGGCCGACGCAGCGGAGGACGGCGCCGCGCCGCGGTACCAGGAGGTGAGCGCGGCGTTCCGCGCCCCGCTCAAGTCGGGGCGCCACGTCTTGACCTTGGCCTGCCTCCCGGACTCCTGCCTGGGCTGCGACCGGGCCGTGCCCATCAAGGTCAGGGTGGTGGAGGCCACGCGCGCCGAGCGCGAGGGCCGCGCCCAACGCCTCGCCGCCGCCGTGGCGGCGGGCGAGGACGGCGAGGGCAGCTGGGAGCAGGTCGGGGCATCTGACGCCGAGGAGGGCTCCGAGTCCGGATCTGAGCGCGAGGAGGAGGTGCTGATTGGGCGGGGGGGGGAGGGGATTTGGAGGGGGTCCAGATCTGCATGCGTGCGGTGGCATCCAATTGGTAAGAGGGTGGGGCAGAGGGGTTCCCGTACGGGAGCGGAGGGGAGCCGTTGCATTGAGGGTGCTCCTTGGCCCCGTCTGACAACCCGCCCCGCTTTCTTTCCATTCCAGGAGGGAGAGTACGACAGCGACGAGTATGGGACAGAGGAGTCGGGCGGGGAGAGCGAGGAGGAAGGGGATGCCCCGCAGCCCGGCACCACCTGAGACTGCTCGGCCATGCTGGGCTTTTGTGGGGGCGTTCAGGTCTGTACTAAGGAAGCAACTGCACTCAACTCATACGGACAGCAGGGTTGGTGGGATGAGGGGTGGGGAAGGCACGGGCTGGCACCCCGCTGCAGCTGCACAGAGGGTCAGTTTTTGGCCATCTGGTTGCTGCGGCATCTTACCCAATGGGTGCAGCCGTGGGCAGCAGGTGCAGTGCCGGGCCACCTATCGCGGGTGCCAACCAGATCTACTGGCATACCGAAGGCTCGTCGCTGGGTTTTTGCCGCACAGCCAGGACTACCAGACTGGGCACTTTCCTGCAGGCCGCAGAGACCCCCACTTTGCCCAAGTTTCTCCTTCTGATGGTTGTTCCTTTCCCTGCAACCCTTCCCCCTCTCCTTTCCATTCTGAATCTCTCAGGGCCCCAACCCCCCCTCTCTCAACCCTCCTGATCGCCAAAACCTTCCCTCGATCACATTCTCACACAGTAGCGTGTCTCGGGTGCCCCGTGTGGGCCCCGGTTTGGGTCGCAAGCATGCCTTTGGCCTCAACAGGGCGTTACGGGGCCGGCGTGGCGCACTGCCATGCCGGCCTCGGGGCAGGTCCAGGGCCGGTTGTCGGGGCGGGGGGCTGTTACCCCCCCTCCCCCACAGCATCCCCCACCGCCTGCACCTCCATCGCCGCCGCCCGCCCCGATGGGCATGCCGGCGCCGGTCCTCAGGCGGCGACGGGCTCGCGCTCGCGCACCTCGGCGCCCTCGGGGATGGCGTTGTGCTGGCGCAGCACGGCCACGGCCTCGTCCACCTTGTCGGCCAGCGCCTCGGCGTTCTCCAGCAGCAGCACCAGCTCGGAGTTGTCCATCTCCAGCAGCATGCCCGTGATCTTGCCCGCCAGGTCGGGCTGCAGGCGCGCGACCAGCGGGAACAGGCCCTCGCCCAACAGCTGCTTCTGCTCCTCCGGTGCGG